TATATACATATATATACATATATACATATATATACATATATATATACATATATATACATATATATATACATATATATACATACATATATATATATATATATATATTACATATGTATATATATATATATATATATTATACAGTAGTAATGAAATAAAATATTTGGTGTCAATCTCAATTTAAACAATGTAAGTAAAGCAAATAAAACCACGTGCCAACTGCCGGAGAATTCATTTTATTATTGTTATTGTGTTTGCTGTTGAGCTGGTTAGATTTTAATAAAGACTGTCAAATCCTGACCTGGTTATGCTGCTATTGGGTTGGCTTTTCATAACAAGTGATAGCTCGTCCGTGTTAACAGCTAAATAATGTGAAATGTTGCTAGCAAGCGATTGGGTCCTGTCACAACTGTGGTATCGTTACAGCACCCCCTTTCATCAAAACTTGCACTTAATGGTTGGTAATGCAGCAAGGGTAACTGTTGCGGTGGTAAATTTGTTGTTTTGTTTTTTTTTTGTGGTTTTTTTTTGCATTGACAAGTGGTCCCCTCTACGCCACTTGGAGACCAACCATTCTACATTAAAAGACAAGCGCGATGTTACATACAAATTGTCTTAACGTTTATTATTACCAAATACCTTTTTTTTTCATACCAGTCGTATCATTTTATTTAGTTGTATTTAGTTTAGTTGTATTTATCCGCAGCAGATACTGGTACACAAACTTAGAGTGCCCTCTAATGGCTATCGGTGTGAAAATAATGAACATGTACATTTTTAGTGGTACAGGAGTAGCAGATATGGTCACACAAGCCTAGAGTGCCCTCTAGCGGCATTCAGTGTAAAAACAACCATGTGAAAGTTTGTTTTTTTAAATATACCAAAATACTAAAACTAATTCTAAACTAAATCGAGAAGTATTTTTGAAACATACCATAATAGTTATACCTGGGAATGGAAGTTTTTGGAAAAAAAAATAGTAAAACAAATCAATGCCTGTGGGCCAAACGCGGCCTACAGTCGTATCATTTAATTTAGTTGTATTTATCCGCCATTTATCCGTTGTTCACTTTCATCTAGTTGCTGTTTATGGTAACAAAGAAGGTAAATGTTTTGTTTGTTTTTTTTTTGCTGATGATGTTGATGAACAGGTTGACAGATGAGGTCAGGCAGGAGGCTCCATAGGCGTTTGTAATTGTAATGTTTGCAGATGACATCTGTGGTGAGAGTACGAAGCATGTGGAAAAACCTGCAGAGGAGGAGGTTTGGTTTGAGGTTTGAGCAAAGAACGAAGGTCAGGAGAAGCGAAAACAGAATACAGTAAGTTGAAAGGGAAGGTTTATAAGTAGTGAGACCTGCTATGACGTGACGGTTACAAGACAGCGTCTCAAGAGGCGCTCGAGATGAAGATGCTAAGGTTTTCACTGGGAGTGACCAGGATGGACGGGAGTAGAGATGAGCAGATCACGGGGACAGTTAAGAGCAGAGCAGAGCAGTTTGGAGATAAAGTAAGAGAGGTGGAAGTTGAGACACGAGTTGAGGAGAGATAGTGAATATATTGGACAAGGGATGAGATGGATTTGCCAGGAAAGAGGAGTAGAGGAAGACTTCAGAGAAATCTAGCTTAAAATAGTTGGCAGCGGATTGGGATTTGGACGACCCCCGGGAGCTAACCGCGGAAAAAAATGTTCTAAGAACGAAAGATTTAGAAAAGGTTTCTTTCATCTTCTGTAATACCGTTATCATAACTTCACCAAATGCTGTAATGTTTGACTTTATTTATTAATTAGGAAATGTACATTTAAAACAGTAGAAAAGTGAAAGCTCACAAATCAGTCAGTGTTAATTATTCCTGGTGCCCTCAGCTTATGTCATCATCAACCATCCTCGTCCGACCCAAACACCCTTTTTTTTTTCCAGTACTAACGATGGTTATGCAACATCAAATACTCCTAATGTGCGGAGGGATAAAAATTGTGGTAAACATCAATCCTCTCACGTAGCCAAAATCAATGATCCATGTTTCTGATTTTTTTTTTTCCTTCGGTACCTTGCCACGTTTGCTCTATCACCAATGGTCTCCATTGACTTCGTGTAAGTCCACAGTATGGAAACTCGTCCATCGTCTTCCTCTACGCCTTTGGCAGGGATCCTGTTGTATTAAAAAAAAAAAAAATTTCTGTGCCCATCAGCTGCTGCGTTTGCCGATCAGTTTGTTCACGTGGTGTTCCTCGACCGGGATTCGAAAAATCTCGTTTGAAGATCAGGGCGTGTCGTTGAGGGGCTCCATGAGCAGCTGCAGTTCTTTGAACGTGCTTCCATGTCGACCCACCTGCGCCGCCTTGATCTTTGTTATGTTGCCGAGGCTCTTCAGCTGCTTGTAGCACAGTCTGCATTTCAGATGACTGCAACGGCACAAAAGAGTTTGTCAACCAAGAAATAATCGATGTCCCTACCCTTGGTCTATAGTCATGAACTGAAAGAACAAGATCCCGGATACAAGTGACCCAGGACTCACTGGAGCGACTATGTCGCTCGGCTGGCCTCACTCGCTGTCCCTCGCTTGGTTATTTTACCTATTCTTATAACAATAATATACATTTTTTTTTCTTAATTATTATTATTTTATATGATCAATATATTGTTTATATCCATGTTTTTGATGTTTAAATTAAATTTAATTATTGAACAGAATATTTCTGGGGGGGCTTGGTCAAGTTCAATTTAGTTATGTTTAATGGGGAAATCCAATCGAGATACAGCAGTGAAGTGAATCGACACTCGAGTGCTGCCGTGGAGCGGATTAGTTCTTGTATCTCGAGGTACAACTGTCCCTCTTCCGCGACACCTCACCGCCCTCCGAAAACCGTGCCCACAGCGACGAAATGAATGTCTACATGTTTTTATACAAAACCATCTGCTTAGAAATCTGCATGAAGAAGACAGTTAGTTTGAAGGGTTCTTCAATTCAAAAAAGCCTCTCTATAACACGAGGAGTCGTCATCACCTTGCTTCTACCTAAAATAATAACGCGTATAATTTTATCCCCGTGTTTGCCTTGTGACCTAGTAAAAATGACTCACCGTTCCTCCCGTGTGATGTCTACTCCGACAGACGGCACAGCCTTCAGCGTGTCTGCGATAAGCATCCAAAAATGTTTCATGACGAGCTTCAGTGATGTGCAGCCAGTCTGCATGTAGCTTTATGCAAAGAGAAAATCAAAGTTTAGTTTAGTTAAGTTAGCGGAGAAACCAAGCTGAGAAGGATGTGCAGCAGGTGAGGTTGATTAAGGACAGAGAGGGGAACGTGATCACAAGTGAGGAAAGTGTGCTGAGAAGATGGAAGGAATACTTTGAGGAGTTGTTGAATGAGGAAAATGAAAGGGAAAGTAGAAACGAGGAACCAGAGACTAGTAGGAAGGAGGTAGATCAGGTTAGAAAGGATGAAGTTAGAAGAGCCCTGAAGAGGATGAAGAATGGAGATGGAAAGTCAGTTGGTCCTGATGACATACCAGTGGAAGTATGGAAGTGTTTAGGAGAAGTGGCGGTAAATTTCCTGACTGGGTTGTTTAACATAATTTTAGAGGCTGACAAGATGCCTGATGAGTGGAGAAAAAGTGTTCTGGTGGCAATTTATAAGAAGGCTGATGCATAGAGTTGTAAAAAACTACAGAGGGATAAAGTTGATGAGCCATATGATGAAGATTTGGGAAAGAATAGTTGAAGCTAGGTTGAGGCAGGAAGTGGAGATTTGTGAACAACAGTATGGTTTCATGCCTAGGAAGAGTACCACAGATGCTGGCCCAGTAATAATACTATTGTTTTGTTCAAATTTAGCCGTGCCAGCCAATCAAACAAAACAGGTTTTTTAAAGACACTTCTTAATGAAATATGCAATATTTTACCTCTAAACTCAGACACAGGAACGCACTTTTCCCTTTAACTCTTGAGCACATCGCTTTTGATCACTTCCTCATTTGTCCCTAATTGACTTTTTATTTAGATAGAAATCATTAGATCGTGTCACATTTCATCAGTTGTGAAAGACAAAATACAGTCAAGAAGAACAACTACAGTTTTTTAAGTTAATTTGAGGGGTTCATTTTGCTAAAAAAAAAAAGGTGTTAGGGATGAACTAAACAATAATAACAATTATTGATTCTGCACCGCAGCATCTTAATGAATACGAGATTAAACTGGTGACCCAAGACGTCACTTACCTCTCATATTTACTCTGCAGCAGTTTGTCGAGCTGAGGAAGTACTGTTGTACAAAGGTCTAGTTTCCACACAGTCCTGGAAGTTAAAAAGTCAATGTTAATGACTGTATTTGGATTTTTTTTCTTGACAAATTTATGTGAACATACATTTTCACATTTGTAGAATCTTTTTTTTTCTGTCCAACAAAGTGTGAAATTCAGGACAAACATATGATAAATCAACCATCTTCTGCATCTTATTCATCCTAAGCGGCAGAGGATATATTAAAAAGAAACAGCTCACTGAACAAACACAAGCTAGCTAATTCAGTAATAAGAAACGGAGGTATCAAAAAAAAAACAACAAAATCCTCAACGAACGGGACCCGTTGTCTAATGCTAGTTAAAGAATGGACCACCTTAAAGATTCTTTAATGTATCTGGGCATGCCTCCTAAAAAAAATCTTTTAAGATGGCATTCTGCCTGGACAACTTAAAGAATCTTTCCAGACAGCGCTGCGGTCCAACTGCGCTGCGGTTGTGTCACGGTCATTGAATTATCGAATGGTTCAATACAGTAACGTGTTATGTTGCAACCCTAATTTCACATATACAATGTATATACTGTACATATATATATATACTCTTAGCTTTTAGAAATGTTTGCCTATTGCATCCCAATTATTCATTTTAACTTACAAACTCACATTTGAAACGGGACAAAAAAAAACCTGCATTCATATCACTCAAAATTAAAAAAAAAAATACAGTCCAAACTTAAGTATGTATTTAACATTATATACTGTGTGAGAATGTATCTCTCTTACGGTTGTAGGTTGATGATGTTGAGAATGTCTACAACGATAGAAAGATCGTTCATGGAGACAGCAGATTCCAGAGCACTCTGCAAAGAGAGAGACACCAGGTTAGGGATAGCTAGAAGTAAGAAAATACTTTGTTGGACTTTATGACCTTTCTAAGAAGTATAATGTAAACAACAAAAGACTAATTTTGCAGTTTACGCCTATTTACAAATGAGACATTGTCTCAAGTCAGTGAGACACCGATCCTTAGCGATACAGTGATCCCTCTCCTATCGCATTGCGTTCCGAGACCCTCCGCGAAGTAGGGCGAGGTCGTTTTTATATTATTTAGGTATAAATTTACACTTTACAAACACCCCCCCCTTCCTTCCTTCCTTCCTTCCACCCTTGCTTCCTTCTTTTCTTCCTTCCTTCCTTCCACCCTTCCTTCCTTCCTTCCACCCTTCCTTCATTCTTTCCACCCTTCCTTCATTCTTTCCACCCTTCCTTCATTCTTTCC